ACAGGACATTATCGATCAATTACACCGAAGATTTAAGTATGACGATACTCACACATGATGTTTCCAAATTTGATTTAATCTCTTTTTTTTTTGTATAGAAACATGATGCTTCTTCAACGGCATTTGGTTGATTATGATGCGAAACAATCGCTGTATATTCATAAACTAAGTCGAACGAGAAAAACAATGGGATTTCTACGTCAGTTGAATCAAGCACCACATCTTTATTATTCGTTTTTATATGAATGTATTCGTCGAAAAGAATATTCCAATATTTTTAATCAAGTTCGTTGTTGATATTCGAATTGACTGAAGTCGAAAGAATTTCTTTTTCAGTTTTCCGTAACAATTCATCGTGAATCCAAAAGTATTCATAATGAAGAAGTTTCTAAAAGAGAACAATTTATTAAGCAGTATGGTAAGACATTCTTGTGAAAATTCTCCAAATCGTCACCATAATCATTTCATTTTCTTTTAGAACCACATTTTCTTTTCAATCTCTTGCCAGGTCTTAAAATGACACCAACATTCTTCATCGTAAGATCATCTTCTGCGTATTTTCATCGAAAACTTCATTTCTTTTACAGAAAGAACCATTGTCATTATTGGATACAAATCTACCTGAAATAACTCTATCCGAACTTGATGAACTATTCGAGAAATTTCCTGGGATAAAACAACGAACAGCGAAGTACAATCTTTGTTTCACCAAAGAATTAATACTGATTTTGTTTAATTATTTAGCGAACTATCGAGTAATGATCCTTCCCTCGATCTCGCTTCGTTAATTCGTTGTACTGATATATTTATTGACGACAAACAAACTCCAACTACAGTACCCCTTTCAGTGTTTATTCCTTCAACATCTGTAGCCATTCCTGGTGATACAACAAAGCAGCTTCCATCGCCAACAAACAGTAGCAGTCGATCAACAGTTGTTCGATCCCAATCATCATCCGATGTTGGATCATCATCGGAACAAATGATGACTCAGACCATTCAGAATGATAATCTTCCCCAACCAAATGATGAAACTCCCACGGAAAAAGGTTTGTCACACACAATTAATTTCAAAAATGAAACCTTTTTCTTCTAATAGAACAAGTCTCAGAAACTTCACCATCGACAACGAATGTCACGAGTAACAATGAAGAAGATGATGATTATATTCAATGCAGTCTGGAAACAGTTTATACATCCACTGAAATGACTGTTTCACCTCCATCACGTCCTTGTGCGTCACAACAAACCGACAGTGAATACACGCGTGCCATTGTACAAGAATTTCTCGAATTGAAAACGCAATATGAGCAAACAAAAACAAATCAACATGAGTTAATATTGAATTATCATGAAACAATCTCGAAAGTGATAACAAGTCTTCAGCAATCCAATCAAGCGCATCAAGAACAAATTGAACAACTACGAACAGAACTTAGTAATCTTATTCAAGATAATGAAACATTGAAAATTCAATGTGACGTTAGTGAGCAAGTTAAACAAGAATTAACGACGAAATATGCAGCGCTTGAGAAAGATTTCGAAGAATTTCGACGCACTTCTGATATCGAAACATCACAAATTGTCAAAGCATTACAATCAGATTATGAATTCGAATTAGAAAAACTTCGCAGTGAACACCAAGAAACTGTCGATCAAATCAAAACCGAACACGAAAAGAAACAAGTTTCTACAACAACTACGGAAATTCAAACAGATGAACAACTGAAACTCGATCAACAAACAAGTATGATCATATTCTCTAATCAAGATCAATCCACGGAAACAAATCAGATTGACTATTGTGATCAAAGTACACAAACAACGTCCGATGATCATCCCGATGATGCAATTATGCGTCGTTCGGTAACAAAGGATCAACAAATACAATTCAATTTAGCAATTCAACGGGCTGTTCAAAATGCCACTGGTGGACAAAAGAAACAAATCGGCCAATTAGAACAACAACTAGCCGATAAACGGTTGAAGATTGTTAAACTAAAAGAATGTATTAAAAATCTACAAAATCTTTATACACTTTCGTCAACACCACCACCGATTATGCCGTCAGTTGCAAATTCAATGATCACATCATCGACAACTGACGATGAACAAGTTATCAATAAAGATGATGAACATGCCACACCTGATGAAACAACGACAACAACGGTGACGACAAGACAAGCATTTCTTCGACGTAGTGAACCAATATCAATGCCAAGTACGTTTATTGCTCAAAGTATGTTGGCTGCTGGTACTGCGGCATCGTCACCAAAAAAATCCGCAGCAGTGAATAACATTCTAATGGATACATGTTTTAAATCATCACCAAATGAATCAAGTACTGCTGTGGAACTATATACACCATTTGCTGCGTCGCCACCAAATCAAATGGCAACATCTTTATCACCACAAACTCCACTCCCCGTTTCATCCTCGATCCTCAATTCACCACCGAGTATCTCACCTGTGTCACGTCTCTCAACACATTCATCACCACAAGCAACGCCAATTGCGTTCTTTACTGTCAATCGATCTGATCATGTGATCATTTACTTTGATACGACCTATCAACATTACATGATCTACACTTGTTTACCAACACTTCATTTCATTCATTCAGATTGTTATGAACTATTTAATATTCAATCGAAACAACCAGCCAGTACAACAAGTGTTATTGATACGATATCTACTGAGAATAACACGTCAGTTGTTGCACCACTAATCAATACATCGATGATCAATTCAACTTTGTTCGGAGTGAATAATAATTTCAATCCAACCACTACACCATTACTTGGTCAAGTAACAGATAAAGAATATTGTCAAGCAAAGAAACCAAGCAATCGTTTCAATGTACCATTAGGTACAAAATTCTATCGAGTCCGTGTTAAACCATGGAAACCATTGTTACCATCTTCATCAACGAACTGAAACTTTACTGACATCGTATATCTCTATTCGAACAGGTGCTATTTGGTCCGTCCCATTAATGTTTTATTCTTTTCCTTCTTTCTATACATATGACTAGTCATGAGACCCTTTCTTTTCCTTCATGTGTTCTTTCTCTCTCTCTCAACAAGTGTATGTGTGTATTTTAAACATTTTCTCCTTCTATCCAACTCGTCGAGGTGTACTGCGCTTCTTTTCTCTTTTTTTTTGATAATATTTTGTACAGAGTGGCAAAAAAGATCAATTATACATGATTAAACAATGATGCGAAAGAAAAAGACAGAAAATAATAACCAGATGGGTATAATATTTCTTCCATGGAATCCACCGCAAGTGCGATAAAAGTTCAATCGAAAGATTGTATTTGACAAACAGAGGACGATGGAGTACGATTTGTCGAAAAAACGACTCTAAATGAAAATCTTCGGAGTGTTGATACCGATTGCATTGCACATATTCCATTGCCAACGAGCCTGACAAACAGTGAGATTATAATAATCTTCGATCATCTCTTTACATTATTAGCTTCAATTCCAGCAGGTTGAGACACGAATAATTATTGTTACATTTTAATTATTAATTAGAATCGATATGGATAACCAGTATCTCGAATATATCATCTCAAGGAAAGATTAGTAGAATGTATATGGTGAAAAATTTCGTTTAACGATATATCAGGGTGAAATTAGTATTCACTGAACGAGACATCTATCGAGATCTGAGTTCACTCAACTCATTTTAACTGCCTATCATGTCGCAGAATTGATTAGATATGTAGTCTACATTGTAGACAATGCCTCTTTGACAAATACAAACAGAACATATTCTTTGTTAATGAACAACATTTTCAGTTTCTCATCAATCTCGTATTGTTGATACCGAGAATTACAAAAAAATTGTTCTTCATCATCGGAGAAAGTATCTTCCTCGTTCAATGTTTGATATTTCTGTTTGAGAAATCGCATCTAATATGGACTTACAATTTCGATATTTTCAGCAACATCGAATTGATACTCAACTGTTGAAGTCTTCATCTTTCATTCAAGCTCTTCAAATGATCGAAATCACGATAGCTAATCCTAATCTTTCGGTAAAATTCGCGCAAACGTGTGTTCAATCTCTTCGCAACGAGCCATTATTTGATCTATGTGAATCTCTCAAACATATTCGCACAATTTACCGACATCAATGTACAGTTCTTCAAAATATTCGCTTGAAAATCGATTCATTGGCCGATAACTGGTCGACATTTACTCTTGGTCATCGACATCGTTCGTCATTCGATAGAATTACGATGGACAAATCTCTTATCGATGGATCAATCGATGTCAATGAGAACGATAGCGAAATCTATTCCCGTTTAGTTTTTTTCTTCTATGCCAAATTACTTCATGAAATTGCTCATGCTTGTCTTGCGGAAATGGGTCGTCAGATGCCATTTGGCGATTATGATGAACGCTTTTCTTCACCAGCCAC